GTGTGTGTGTATGTGAGTGTGTATGTATGTGTGTGTGTATGTGAGTGTGTGTGTCTGTCTGTGTGTGTGTATATGTGTGAGTGTATGTGAGTCTGTATGTATATGTGTGTGTGTATGTGAGTGTGTATGTATGTGTGTGTGTGTATGTGAGTGTGTATGTATGTGTGTGTGTGTGTATATGTGTGAGTGTATGTGAGTCTGTGTAGGTATATGGGTGTGTGTGTATGTGAGTGTGTATGTATGTGTGTGTGTGTATGTGAGTGTGTATGTGTGTGTGTGTATATGTGTGAGTGTATGTGAATCTGTGTAGGTATATGGGTGTGTGTCTGTCTGTATGTGTGTGTATGTGAGTGTGTGTGAGTCTGTGTGTGCACGGTAGAGGGTGGGTAACGAGAGATAAACAGCAGCAGAGAAAGGAGTGAGTGTGTAGGGCCTAGAAGCACTTTAAGGAGATGGACTTGCCCTCACACAGAACCATTTTACTTTCCTAGTTTCGAAAGCTGTAGCCCTGCAAAATGGAGCGGGAGCCCCCGTCACCTCCCAAAGTCTCGGCGCACGCTCCCCTCACCTGTTTCTGGTGACACTCGTATTTAGCCGCCGCCTGTGCTTCGTCCTGTGACGCAGAAGTGTGCAATGTGCCAGGAACTACCTTTATGCAGACAGAAAGGCACCTGCTTGTTTTGTTTGTTTGTTTTTCGAGACAGGGTTTCTCTGTGTAGCCCTGGCTGTCCTGGACTCTGTAGACCAGGCTGGCCCCGAACTCACAGCGACCCGACTGCTTCCCGAGGGCTGTGCGCCACCACCACGCCCTGCTTAAAATAAGCATTTTTGATATACTATCTTATTAGTTCTTTGAGAATTGGGCACATGCATACAATGTATTTTCATCATATCACCCCGCTCTTCGCGCTCCTCACCCTAACTCCTCTCGGATGCACGCCCACCCCCGTCTCCTTGATCACTGGATCACTTTTAAGATTTATGTATTACAGAGCATTCTGCCTGCACGTGTGTCTGAACACCAGCAGAGGCCCCAGATTTTATTTTAGATGGTTGAACCATCATGTGGTTGCTGGGAACTGAACCCAGGACCTTTGCAGGAACAGACAGTGTTCTTAACCTCTGAGCCATCTCTCCAGCTCCCAGAAAAACATTTGTAACTGACGATAGACAGTATGCTGCGTTGCCTGTAGCATCTCAGTTCACTGAGTCACCAACAGCGTCTCTCACAACGCAGCCCACTGTGACAGCTCGCGGGCTGTGTCCACCCGCCGCCCAACTTCAGACACAAAGCGCGAAGGCTCTACCCTCAGATCTGGCCCTCACTCTGAAGAGGCCCTCACAGTGAAAGCTTCAGAGCTTTTATCCTGGGATTTTCTGCCTGTTAATAATCCCACGAGCGCCTGTGGGGCTTGCCACAGGCTAGAGTTCTGGTGGCTATGCTGCGTGTCTTTGCTCCCCCTCACTCTCCATGTTCCAGTGTGTGGTGGTCCGTGTGGATGGCTCTGAGAATTTGAGGCCACCCTGTTCGACAGAGTTCTAAGCTGGGCACACACAGTCTACACAGTGAGACCCTGTCTCAAAAATAAAATAAAATAAAATAAAATAGACAAGGTGGATGGAGAGTGACAGCCAAAATTGAGATGGCGATTTTATACGCCCAGGAACGAGTGAAAGAGTAGACCACGCAGGTACCTGGAGTGAAGCAGGCAGGGGAAAGGCCCTGAGGGCACTGAGTGGGTTTCAAGGATCCAGAAAATGGAACCCAGAAATGGCACACAGAAGGGAGAGCAGGAGGAAATATCAGAAGAGGTAACAGAGCCAGCAACCTCGGGGTCCCGTAGCCAGACAATGGACATTTGAACGCAGATTCAGTTTATTTTGCTGATGAAAGCCAAGAGAGAGTCTAGAGCAGCCTTCCCCAGCCTTCCTGATGCTGCAACCCTGTACTGCAGTCCCTCGTGCCGTGGTGACCCCCACCGTACCGTAACTGATTTTGCCGCTGTTCGGGACTGCAGAGCAAACACCCGATATGCAGGCTCTCCGATATGTGACCCTGTGAAAGGGCCGTTGACCCAACTCACAGGCTGGGAACCGCCGCTCTAGAGATTCTCGCCTGAGCATGGGCAGGATGGTCTGGGGCGGTCACCAGCTCTGCTCATGCTGGCCGCTGCGTGGTTGATGACAGCTCTCCCACGTCCATGTGCCTGCTGGACCCTCCTCCAGAATGCTTGCCAGGTGTCAGATTCAGCTCATCCCAAACCGCTGCCCCTCTCCTAGATCTCAGCCAGCACTGCTGCCCAGTGGGCCCGCCTTACCCAGTGTTCTACGGACCGGTCCCCCCCACACCCCACAGCCAGTTACCTCCCACCACCCCCTCTCGGCCAGGGGATCTCAGGGTGTCTTCTGCCTCCATCACTGGAGCTGCCCAGGGCCCATGGGACAGGAGGGAGCTGTGGGAACGAATGAAGGACAGGGTGTGGGAATGAATGAAGGACTGCCTGAAATGAGAGGCCCCTCAGCCAGCTCTCTCCTTTCAAGCCAGTTGCCACACTACCTCAGAGCAGTGTTTGAAAGCACACAACTGTGTCCCTTCCTTGACAGACCATTCACAGTTCCCCTACACAGACATAAACTGGTGGCCTACAGACATGTTTTCTTTGGCCCACATAGTGTTTGGGGTTTTTATTTAAATCTTGAATTAGTTAGCATATTTTACACCAAAGTCCGGGTTTTTCACTTTAGACACTAGAAGAGCTATAGTTAGTTCCCAGGCTTCATTTCTCCAGGACAGCACTCGGCCCCTCTGAAACACCATGGCCTCCACAGTTTGCCATAGTCACTCTGCACCTTCTTTTATATGCTACCTGCTTCCCTCACCCAAATGACCCACATGACACAGTGAGGATCAAGTTTGCAGCCACGGGCCTTGAAGACAAGTGCGTCACTCTGGAAGCATGAGGTGAGGCTGACAAAGGTGGGGAGATGACAGTGAACTTAACAAAGATTGTAGCCAAGCTGTGGAGGGTCAGCCTGCCTGTCTGTCTGTCTGTCGAGGCTTAGTCTTACTGTGTAACCCAGCTTGGCCTCAAACTAGAAATTCTCTTGCCTCAGTATCCCAAGCATGGGGGTACTGGCTTCTTGGATAGCTCTTGGGTGTAATAAAGCAGGCAGTCATAGGGTTGGGTTGTTTTTAGCTGAGGCCTTCTTGACAAGAGGACCAGACAGGGAATCCAGTGAGGGGCCTGGATAGTCCTGAGTTGTTCTCACTGGAGTGTCTGCTAAGCCCAAGTCTCTTTTCTGTGTTTCAGAAGCAGCCAGCTGTGTGGAGTTCAAACATGGCTCTGAGGGTAGGTGGCCAGTCCTGAAGACCCAGCCTGGCTCCAGCTGCTTCAGAAGGACTCCAGCCCCCCAAGACTCCTCTGCTCCCCACAGGATGGGAACCTGGGCACTAGGGACCTGGTCATGAGGGGCTGCTGCTCCTCTCCAAAGGCCATCCCTGCACCCCCAAGGAATACCATTGACCAAAGCCTAGGCATGGACTCTAGTCACAGCAATCCCAGTGGGGCTGGGCACGGGGCCTCCTGCTCTGATAGCCCTGCTGGGGGCTTGGCCTGTCCCTCTCCTACCTGCAGTCCTCTCCCAGAGACAGTGGGGGCACATGGGGCCTTGATCTCACCAGCCTCTGAAACAACTTTATTTGGGAAGCAAGAGCCCACGTCCTCAGCAGAAGCTGCTCCCACAGCCCCAGAGAACAGAAATCCTGTGTTCTTGGAGAAGATGGATTCCAAATCCTTGACGAAGACAGATTCTACTTCTGTGAGAAAGGAAGAGGCTGGGTCTTTGAAGAAGGAAGAGTCCTCGTTGATTGGAAAGGCAGAGCCTGCGATCTGTGGAAAGGGGGAGCCTGGGGCTGTGGGAAGGATGGATTGCACAACTCCAAGGAAGGAGGACTCCGAGTCCTTGGGAAGAGGAGGTGCAGCATGCTCCAGCGAAGTGGATACAGTGTCCCCAAGAGGGGAAGGCCCTGGATCCGTGAAAAACACAGAGGCTGTGTCCTCAGGCAAAGTGGAGCCAAGAAAGGAGGACCCCGTGTATTCCAAAAGAGAGCACCCTGGACCCACAAGAGAGGGAGAGCTTGGGTCTTTGGGGAAAAAAGACATGGAAGCCCCAGAAAAGGCAGAGCCTGCATCCACAAAACAGACAGATCCTGGGTTCTCGGGAAAGCTAATGCCAGAATCAGCGGGCAAGACAGAGCTTGTGTCCTCGGGAACAGTGGCTCCTGGGACCTCCAAAAAGGTGAATCCTGAATGCTCAGGGAGGGCAGATCCTGCCGCTGTGGGGAAAGCAGAAACTTTGTCCTCTGAAAAAGAGGACCCTCCGTGTCTTGGGAAGACAGGCCCTGCTTCCTCAGGAGAGTGTGGGCCTGTGTCTGCAAGAATGACAGAAACAGTATCTGCTGGGCAGCCTGAAGGTGTGTTTCCAGCAAAGATGGACCCCACATCTGTAAACAGTTCAGGACCTTCGGGCAGCGAGGACCCAGGTTCCTCAGGAAACGTGGAACTTGTGTCCCCAGTGAAACCGGAACACTTGTCTTCTGGGCAGGCGGCACGTGTGTCCTTGGTGAAAACAGAAACCCTATCCTCAGGAAAGGAGAACCCAAGGCCCTCCGGAAGGGTGGAGCTCACGACTGTCGCAGGAAACATCAAAACGTCTCAAGAAGGGAACCCCAACTCTTCAGGAAAGACAGACCCCGTGTCTTCAAGTTCAGGAGATGCCAAGCCTCTGGGGACCTGGGGGTCCCTGTCTGCTGCAAAAGCTGAGGCAGTGAGCGAGGGAAAAGGAAGCCCGAAGTCCTTAGAGAAGCCAAGTCCTACATCCACCTCGGAGAAAGCTGATGCCCTCGATCTCAGCAGGGTGGGCTGTGCAAGCCAGGCAAAGGCAGAAACCGTTCCCTCTGGACAAGCGGGCCCCACGACTTTAGGAAAAGAGGTCCTGACGAGTTCAGGAAAAGCAGCGTTGGTGTCCCCAGGGAAGGTGGATCCCATGGCCTCAGAAGGAGAAGGCATTCCAGAGCTGAAGGATCCAGAGAAGAGGAATCCTGGGAACTCCACGAGGGTGGACGCCAGGGCCTCGGGCAGTGCTGAGCCCAAGTCTGAGGTCAAGGTGGTGACCCAGCTTCCTGGCGCCGCATTCCCGGAAAAGGTGGAGGCTCCGGCTTCGCAAAAAGAACAGCCACAGTGGCCCGGGAAGACGGATGCCTCGGGGAAAGCGGACTCGAGCACGTCAGTGGGGCCGGTGTCCCTGGGGAAGGCCGACTCTGCGCCTCCATCTAGAAAAGCAGAATCTCAGACCTCGGCCCAGGCCGCGGCTCTGGCTCCGGAGAAGGCCGCGTCCTCTCTCAGGCAATCGGATAGTCCACCGTGCAGCTCAGCCCAGCTTCGGGGCGACGAGCGGCGCCAGGAGCCGGGGCCCTCTTTCAGCACCGGCCAGAAAGACCTAGCGGCCGCGGCGGCCGCGAAGAGCCCCCGCGCGGAGGGGACAGCGCCCCCGCCGGGGCCACGGACTCGCGACAACTTCACCAAGGCGCCGTCGTGGGACGCGGGCGCGCCGCCGCCGCCGCGGGAGGACGCGGGCACGCAGGCCGGCGCTCAGGCGTGCGTCTCGGTGGCGGTGAGCCCCATGTCCCCGCAGGACGGCGCGGGCAGACCGGCCTTCAGCTTCCGCGCGCCCAGCCCCGCGCCCGGGCCGCCCGCGCGCCGGGACGCCGGCCTGCAGGTGTCGCTGGGCGCCGCCGAGACGCGCTCGGTGGCCACCGGGCCCATGACCCCGCAGGCCGCCGCGCCGCCCGTCTTCCCCGAGGTGCGGGTGCGGCCCGGCTCGGTGCTGGCCGCCGCCGTGGCGCCCCCGGAGGCGGCCGAGC